GGGAGGGAGGGACTTATTCCCCGTCAGCTCAGTCTACCATATTGCCTCAAAGTCCAAAACACAATCTGCTAAGAGAGTCTTCTGGCACTCACTATCACTTCCTGGAAACCAAAGTTTGATTTCAGACATGCCAAGCGTGAGCTGTCAAAGGAACATGCAGCAGAGGGCTGTGCAGGGAGGCGTGGGAACACGGATCTAGGACTGTGGAAGGACGCCGAGCATGAGCTGAGGAGACGGCCTCTACTGGGCACAGAAGTGATAGTGAAGCTCTCTGTGCCGTGGGATCCACAAGGATTAGGAAGTGAATGAGAGGGCAGGAATTGGGATCAGAGTCTCACAGAATATGTCTATCCAGTGGGCAAGAGGAACAAAAGCAGTCAGGGAGGATCCAGCTGTCAGAACAGTGAAGAGAGGCCTAAGCTAAGGAAAGGAGATTTTTCAAGAAGGGGGTGATGAAGCATCCAATGTTGTGGGAATGTGAGGAAGGTGAGGGTCAGCAGAGTTCATGACTAGGACTTTCTGAGGAGCAGCGCAGGCACAGCTATGAGGAAGAGCATGAGAATGAGTTATTAGAGGTGCAAACGTTGGTTTCCTCTGCCCTCCAACTCCTCACCCCTTCACCCACTTTGCCTCCCACCTGAGCCAAGGCTCAGGAAAGCCTGAAACAGGCAGCCTGTGCCTACCACCACCTTCTCAACAACCTCAAAGGAGGGCACCTGAGGCACTACATTAGACACAAGGAGCAGAGGCACTTCCTGAATAAAAGACTCCAAAGTCGGAATTATGTGAATGCCACACATCTGCCTTCTTAGATATTTGTGAAGTAACTGTTCTCCAAACTGCAGCGCTTGATCAACCTGTGGCTTTCAATGTCTGGAATCAGAGCCCCGCTCCTGGGAGGCTCCTTTCCAGGTCTCCCCACCCTGCAGACCAGGCCACCTGGCCCACTGGCTATGATTCCCCCCACTGCTGCAGATGAGTCAAACAGCCTGGATCAATTCAGTAGGAAAGAGCAAATCATGATAGGAACATGCAGAGAGCCAGCAGTGTGCTTCTGTGTGTGTGTGTGTGTGTGTGTGTGTGTGTGTGTGTGTGTGAGTGAGTGATGTGCAGCACATGACTAGAATTACTGTAAGGAGTGACTCACCCAAACTCCAGGAATTCCATACCCCCAGGTCACTCGTGAATAAGTCAGCCTCCTCCTGGGATCACTCTGATCAGAGCAAAAGCTTCAGCATCATCCCAGTTGCTCAGGCCCCAGACCTAGAAATCCTCTTTGTTCCTCTTTTCTGACATCCCACCACACAAACCTGCCAGGTCTGTCTCCTCATTTCCTGTCTACTGCCACCTCCCTATCCCAACCAACATCACCTTGCTTCTGGATGCTGCCTGGACCTCCTGATCAGGCCCCATTTCCCATCTTGGCCCCCTGCACTCCTGCCCAGTTTGTTTTCCACACAGTAGCAACAGTAATTTAAAAAACAAAAAACGAAAAGCAGCTGTAAGCCAGATCACGTCTAGCTCCTGTTTAAAACCCTTCCCTGCACTTGAAATAGAACATGACTCCTGTCCTAGGCTAGAAGCCCTTCCCAATGGGCCCACTGCCTGTCCATGGCATCTTGCACCAATCTCCTCCTGGCCCGCAGCACCCCCGCCACACTGGCTCTGAGTTTCTTGATGGCACCAAGTTTCTTCTCACTGATTCTTTGCACTGGCCGCACCCTCTTCCTGGCACGGCTGGCTCCTTGTGACACTCAGGTCTCAACTTAGCTTGGTCTTCCTTCTCAGAAAGGCCTTCCCCGAAGCCCCAGACCGCAGCAGACCCACCCTCCGGTCTTGGTCTCCCATGCCACTCCCATCCCCATCTGACAACTCTTTGCTCACTACTTCACATACTCAACAAATGTTTATCCAATACTTCTTATCCCAGCAAGATGGGACACGTCTTGCTCCTCCCTCAATAATGTGTCCACCTCCTCTGAATAACACAAAAGCCCATAAAAACAAACCCCTTGACCAGAGCCTCAAGGCCTGGCATGAAAGAAGAATTTGGTAAATACTGGATTTGTAAAACGAGTGAGAGCAGCATGGTAGTACGTACTCAGGAAATCAGAATTGACCAATTCTGTCTTGCCTACGTCGCATGGCCTTGAAGCAGCCAGTATTCCAAAGAGGTCCCATGCTAGGATGAATCAGATCCTGCCTATGTTTTCCCAGGCCAGCAGAAGGTGAGTTCCTCCCTGTTTGCACATCAGCCAGTATTTATTAGGGCCTACTATGTGATAGCCTGTGCTCCGGGTCAGTCTCTGATCCATGCCAACTCAGTCAACTGCTGGCACTCTGCAGCCATTCATGGCCAGGTCAACAAGCTGCCCTGCCCTACAGCTAACAACCAACTGGTCCCTGCTGGAGTTCATCCATGGTGCAACCAAGTGGCAGTCTCTGCCCACACCCATAACTCCTTTCTGTCTAGATTTCCCAGATATCCAGGGTTTCAGTGCAACTTCAGGGACAGCACTCAGGGAGGACCTGAGTGCCAGCCTCAGTTCTCCAGCCCCACTTCCCACACAATGCGTGTGCCCCTCTCTCCCTGCCGTGAGCCCAGCCAGATTCCAATATCAGCCTCCATCACCAAGCCACCCAGAACACTGGCCAAGAACATGGAATACACACTCCAGCAAGGCAAGGCTGTGTCACACCAGCTCCAACACTCGCCAGCCCTGTGATCTTCGTCAAGCCACTGCACCTCTTCGAACCTCAGTTTCCTTCTCTAAAAAATGAAGAATCCAGGGGTGCCTGGGTGTCACAGTCGGTTAAAGCATCCAACTCTTGGTTTTGGCTTAGGTTGATCTCAGGGTCATAAGACTGAGCCTCATGTCAGGAGGCTCAGTGGGGAGTCTGCTTGGGCTTCTCTCTCCCTGTCGCTCTGCCCTCCCCACCTCCTCTCTAAAATAAATATGTCAATCTTTTTTTTTCTTTAATGAAGACTATAAAGGCACTGATCATCTGGGCTACTATGGTAGTGCCTCCTGCGCTCCTGCTCCTCTTGGCTCTGCAGGCCCATGAGGTCTCTGTAATACCAGGTCAAGGGAAAAGTGGGTAGGGGGAAACAAAACAGCTCTTTTTTGGCAATATTTCTATGGTGAATCTCATTACTAGAAATAACAGCAAAGAAAGGATAAGATCCAGGACAACAGATATACACAATGCCAACAACAAGCACACACCCAGCTGGGTGCCACACCTCTCATCATGAAGGCAGGCAGTCAAAGGGAGAGGCAGATCTATGGACAAAACCAGAGTAGACATCCTGTGTGCTTGTAGCACAAGGTGTGGAGAGAGTGTCAGAAAGAGATGCAGCCACTGCTGATGCCACTAGGGCTGGGGTGATCTGGATGAAGGTGAAAAAGGATGAATTTGGCTCCCTCCATTTCTCAAATGCTCTGTGCCAACCACTGTCCTAGGATCAACAGGATAGGTGGGTTGAAAGGTGGCTTGCAAGACTCCCTGCCCTCACCAACTGTATAGCTTCAGTGGGTCACAGAGTTACCACATTGCTGATGATAAGGTTTGTGCATCTTGAGAGTCATAATTCATCTCTCTGAGTTTGCATATAGCTCCCAGCAGTCCAAGAAACAGTAACAGCATCTAAATAATGGAAAATTCATTTGAAAAAGACTCTCTAGGGAACTTTTGAAAAAAGCCTCATGGCTCAGATGGACTCAGGGACTCATAAGCCTGGCAACAATGGGAGAGATCAGTGGCTTCCAAACCTGCTTTCAACCTCCCAAACCACTGCTCCACTGAAATTTACCCAGGAGCCCAGTCCATCAAACCGATGCAAATGGAGCTGCTTGGGTGGAAACAGTGCCAAGGTGGCAGGTCTCTCCTCTCTTCCTCCTCTCTCCCAGCCCCTGGTGGCCCTCAAGGCAGCTCCACAGAACCCTTGGGGCTCCACGAAGCACTGACGTAAAAGCACTGATCTAGGCCAACGGCTGAGTAGAGAGAGGAAAACAAGTCCCACAGAAGTCATGCTCTGAACAGTGGCTGAACACAGACCCAGTTTCTGACTCTGGGCTCAGACTTCTCACTCCACTTTGCTAGGGCTAGGTCTATGGAAAATTGTAATTTAAAAAACAAGGCTCATTTCTGATCACCTACAACATAATCCCTAAGTGTCTTAAAGGCCCCCGAATTAGCCAAGTATGAAACTGAGCCCAGCCCCGTAGACTGGCAAAAAAAAAGTTCGGAAATGAGTTGCAGAAGCACAGCTGACAATTCTATATAGTTTCCTTCAGTTCCATGGGACATAAACAGGTCTTGAAAGGCTTGGGCTGTGTGGCTGTGGGAGACCCTGGACCAGGCAGGCCAGGAGGTGAATGCTAATGAGCTATGGAAATAGCAATTACTTCCCTCATGTCAGGCACTGTGCCAAGCTAAGGAGGATAAAGAGGTCTGAGATATTTTTAAAGTATTTTTACAGCAGAAAAACTTTCCTACAGACTCAATTATATAACTATCAGACTCCACCTCTGAGCTGAAATTATCCATGGCCTTCAGGAAAAAAACAAAACAAAACAACCCCTCCCCCTCCCTTTCTTCCTACATGAGGGCCACAGGTTTCTCCAGAGACTCTTAGCTATATGGCCAACCACTCAGGGCAGCTGTGAACCATCAGCCCAGAGACCTTCCTAAAGGCAATTTGGAGCCTATCAGAGAAGAATGCCAGCCAAGTGGAGGGCCAAAGTCATGTCACTGGCCCAGCCACCACACGTGATGTTTTAGGGTCCAGGAAGGTCCACTCAAGACGGCTCCAACCCTCACAACTTCCTTGTCCTGAAATGGGGCTGAGGTCCCCTGAAGGAGACAGGATGCCCAGGAAACCCACAGTAATCTTCTGTCACTGGCAAAGGGTAGACAGTCAGAGGAAGCCTTCAGGGCTCAAGGAATGAAGAACTCTACTAGTGAAATGAGAGCCAAAATCAAAGGGATTAACTTACAGCCCAGGTTTTTGTCAGCCTGAAGATGGGTGCACTTTGTAATGCTGATACCACAGACATGAGAGAATGAAGGTTGTTGAGTTCTAGAAGTTTCTGAAAAAAGATATGGAATAGATTATTTTTCTGTTATTAACAACAGAACAAAAACATGCTCAACTGTTACCAAATGTCATATTTATGAAATTCAATTATACTTAAAAATATCTCATGTAGAAAATATAGTTCTATGGAATTCATAGAAACCATATGCTCTTCTTCTTTCAAACTGTCAAAAGGTGAGTCTGCATCAAACACAGTTGCAAAAGTTTATAAGCTGACTAATCTGGTTGCTGGACAGAAATGTGGCTCAGAATAAGGTTTGATAATGCCCTTTATGTACTTTTTTCAACGAATCGGAACTGTCCCAGCAGGCTTTTGTAAACTGAGGCTTCAGCTGTACCAACAATATCCACGTGGGTCTTCTGCGACTACCTTACATCCCAAATGAGGGGCTGAAGGAAGATGCTACCAATCTGTGTGATCCCCCTCAGCTAGGAAGACACAGCTCTGGCTTCTCTGTCACTTGACCATGCTCCTTTGAACCAGACCCCACGTTAGTGAGAACACTTGCATTCAATTCAGTTTCACGCAAGTTCCTCACCATGGAAGACAAGAGTAGGGGACAGCCAAGGATAAGCGCAGAAAGATATAACTGCTCTGGTTCTAAGTTTGGTGCTGAGGGAAACTTAGCGGGACTAGGGTTCCGCTTCTCATTCTTGGGAGCCAGTGAAGTTTGGACTAGCAAGCGGGCTCCATGGAACAAACAGACCTAGTTCTAAGCCCAGCTTCCAATATCTACGTGAAATGCAGTGAGTTAGCTAAGACTTGGCTGGCTCATACCTACAATGAGGAAGATTACCACAGCACGTACGCTACACGGGACAGTGTGTGCAAAGTGCCAGACTGGCACCTGGCACCAGGGTGAGTGCTCTGTGGCTTGTGGGCTGCTCATCCCTTGTTGGGAAGACTTCTCCCCTACTCGTCCACCTCACTTGTCTTGGGTACTACCAAGCTCACATGCCCCCCTCCTCTAGTATGTCCTTCCTGACCATGCTCCTAAATCTAGGGAGCTTAGGGCCCCTGACTATGCATTCCCACAGCAGTCTATGCATGTCCTTAGTACACTGGCCTGTAGTTGCTTTTACCAGCTTCTCTTTCACCCATGTGAAAGGGACCATGTGACCATGTCCATGGTCTCGGGACCATGTGTTCCCGAGAGCAGGGTAAAGCTCTATCTGCCATCATATCCCTAGTGCCTCATACAGCACACAGTAGGGCCTAGTGAAATTGAATAAATAAATAAAAAGCCCTATGCCTAGTCCTTACAGCTCTGTTCCTACTCAGAGATTTCTCCTTTACCATACAAGTTAGTATTTCCTTTCTTACATCTTTTAACAATCTCTAATTGTTTCCTGTGTGTAATAACAGATTCTCTGAGAGGACTGAATTTCATCCTATGTATCTGAATTGCTATGCCTGTCACAAAATTTCTTTTAGAGCTGAAGGTCCTCTGGGAGATCCACCCCTCTCATTTCATAGATGGGAAACCAAGATCCAGAGGAAGGAGGGATCGGTACCAGAACATACTCAGGGCACAGTGCCAGTATGATGAGCCATCACAGGAAGATGGCAGAGGTAAAAGAGGGCTCATGTTGGATTCCTTGGAGAGGCACCACAAACTCATTTCCTGAAAGCACTGGAGGGCTGGAACTTCATCCCGCTTTCTCGTGGCCCAGCGTGAACTCCCTGACAGTACAAGCATCGTTAAGCCCAGCATGGTCCGGAGCACTTCAGAATGCACAGGATGTGAAAGCGTCTGTTGTCCCTGACATACTCTAGATGGATGCCCTTAACCTTCCCATGAGGGGCAGTGGAGCAGCTTCCCTGAGGGCAAAGAGATATGCTCTAGCGCACTCGCTATAAGGCCCTGGGCATGGACACTCACCTCTATAAGTGGGAGAATGACAATGTGAACATCAAACACGATCATTTCAGTAAAGTGGCTGCTATGATGCCTGGCTCATGAAGGGCATCAGTGAAAGTTGACCGGCCTAGGATCTGGGTGGGAACACAACACGTGCACACACCATGCCGGGAGCCAGACAGAATAGCAGCGTGCTGCCAAGATGCAGGCAAGCCTGGTGGTCAGCAGCAGCACATAGGGAGGAGCTGGCACAGCCATGTAAGTGATGAGAGTGGTCTGGGAAAGCCCATGGCATCACTGCCTGGCCTAGCAGACATCAGGGAACAGAAGGGGAAAGGTGGGGTACAGACATAAGCCTGGTGCTTAACAATTGGCAAGAACAGAAACTACCAGGGCAGGGGGCAGGAGGTGGGAGTAGGGCCCAGCAGAGTCACTGGGCCTAGGCCTCAAGCTTAGGATGGGGATGGGGTGAATCTGCTGACTACAGACAAAACTACAGGATATGATGGTATCACAGAGCCCATCAACCCCCAGTGCTAGCTAACTGAAATAGGAGGATGGGTGGACCCCAGAGGGAGCCCCAAGGCCTCATAGAGAGTCTGAACAGCCAGCTAAAGAGAATGGATGGCTGCCATAAAAACACGTAGAGGGCCACACTGCCATGCGTGCATGGGGGGGAGGGAGGCTGCGTGGGCACCTAAGCCAGTCTTGCAGCCTAGAGAAGTCAGGTCACAGCCCTCTACTTGAACCCAGCCCAGCAGGCCCAGAGCAAAGCAGCTCTCAAAATACTGAGGAAACATTCCGGGGGGAAAAAAAGAAAGAAAAAGGAAGGAAAGAAGGAAGGAAGGAAGGAAGGGAGGGAGGGAGGGAGGGAGGGAGGGAGGAAGGAAGGAAAATAATAATAAAAGAGCTTACCTTGGCTATTTTCACAAAATGGCTCAGGATTTCTGCCCTTATTTTTAAAGTCTGTGCTGTTAGAATTTCTCGTACAACCCAAAAACTGACCTGTAGAGTCAAATACACACACACACACACACACACACACACACACACACACAAAGTGGTTAAATACGTTAAATACTGGACCACTCCTGTCGCCCTCGCCCACCACAGACAGAGATTTCCCAGAGGTCAGGAAACTGGAAGAATACAGACTGGGGTAGAGTGCAGTTAAGGGTCTCTTCACCACACCCAGCCCTGCAAATGGGGCCCTCCTTCAGCACCTCCTCTCCAACCATACACAGTGGTGCTGACAGAGACAAGTACTTTCCTCATCATGCAGAGGAGTTACTGGGCCTCCACAACATGAATCTCTCTGAAGTTGCGGCAAGGAATTTTGAGATGAACAAGACAGATCATTCCTGCTCAGAAGGATCCCAGTTGTGGAAAAATCATGGATGAGTGGATGGATGGATGGATGGATGGCCAGACAAATGGCCAGACAAAGGTATACATTCACTGGCAGGACTACCCATGAGATCTATATCCCCAGCCAGATCCAAGATAAGTAGGATTCACCAATATTTGCACAATTGTAACAAATTTAATATTCTAGGAGAGGTTTACCCAGTAATTTAAATGATACATAAGTGTCTTTCAAAGTTCCACAAAATAATGCAGGTGAAGGGACATGTTTTTCTGGAGACCATTTGTGCCAAAAGGACATACTGTACTTTGGGTTCAGAACATTATTCATGCTTTAAAAAAAAACCAAACAAACATTACTCATGATTGCCTTTGACAGAAATCAACATCCCCAAGCTCCTGAATCCTTTTGGGAACAGGCAAGTTATCTACCAGGGTATAGTTGACTCACATGACACCTTAGTACAACATTGAAGGAGTTTCCTGCCAAGAAAGTCTGGGAAGTGGTTACTTTCTTGTTTACATCTCGTTACCGTAACAACCATGCTGTGACACACAGATGCCCAAGGCTAGAATGACAGCATGGCCCAGAGAGAGAGAGCTAAGCAGAATATGGGGATGTGTGGAGTGGAAAGGAAGGCAAGGCATCGAAAAACCTCTAAATTTTACAAAGAAAACTAGGGATATTCCAGAGTTAACAAAGTACATTTATTGCTGCAACCAAATTCTTTCTCTTTCCTGAAATATGATTACTTTTCAATGAGAAAACAAGGAAAGAGTAACCAAGAATCAAAAATTTGCTTTTTATGTTAAGCAGGAATATTATAGAAAAGTTTCTTCCGCATAATTACTTGTGGTTGCCTCCAGGCCATGCCTGGGTTTCCATAGAATCATTTTTTCCAAGGAATTGCCTAAAATTAAGTTCAGACTCAAACGTTTACTAGCCAGTTATGGAACAAAGATTTTCTGGACACCAAATGATACATACACCCATAAACCTTATTATTTTAATACATGCACATTTTTATGCCACATAATCTCAAGTGTGATAGTTTAATATGTATAATTTAATAAATTTATGCATGCCAAAAAATCACATATTTAAGGCATAATTATGGAACATGGCAGAGTTGATTCCAATCTGTAGCACACAGTATGCAGAGGCAACTGAGTCAATTCAATTCAATAGACTTTCAAGAAGCCTGTACTGTGCGCAGGCTCTAGGCATTGTGAGTCCAGACCCTATCAGCCCTTGCCTAATATGGAAGTGATCAAAGAAGGAGGCAGGATCCTCCAGAAATCACATGGCAATCATGTACACAAAAGAAGCTCAACCTAAGCGGACTGGAACATGGAGGTAGGTAATGATAAAGGAAGGCTTGCTGGAAGAGGCAGGCCTTGAGGGTTTGAAAGATGGGTAAGGCTTCAAACAGGTAAAGACAGGGCTGGGGTATGGCTGTATACACTGTGGCCAGGGAGAACTGAGTAGACCCACTGGGGTGTTACAGGTGCTTTGTGGGATTGGGGTAGGGGGGATGTCATAGCTGGGAAGGGCACTGAAGGCCAGATGGTGGGGGTCTGGAGCACCAAGGTCACAAGAAAGATTTGAGGTGCTATTCTACATGGGGAGACTTCTGGAGGTTTCCAAGCAGCGAAGTGATAGAACCTTCAGTAGGGGCAGGAACACCCATCTGGAATCTGATGCAATGGTCCAAGTGACAGGTGGGGGGCCTGAGCAAGGGCCATGCTGAATGAGATAGACAGAAAGGAGAAGGAGCAGATAAGAAAGACATTACACAGGTAAGATCAGCAAAGTTTCAAACATTTTTTATTTTCTTTCCTAACTACAAAATTTAAGAGAAGCTTAATGCAGAAAACAAGGGACACAGAGAGAGACACAAAGGGAAGAGCTCAGTTAACAACCTCACCCTTGTATATAGACCACAACAGACACTGTTTTCTATCCTTCTACTCTCTTTTCCATACAAAAAACATACACCTGTCTTTTTCAACTAAACCAGAATATATTCATTATATTATTACCATAATTTTTTTAAAGATTTTATTTATTTATTTGACAGAGAGAAAACACAAGCAGGGGGAGCAGGAGAGGGAGAAGCAGGCTCCCCACTGAGCAGGGAGCCCACTGTGAGGCTCGATCTAAGGACCCTGGGATCATGACCTGAGCCAAAGTCAGACATTTAACCAACAGAGTCACCCAGGGGCCCCATCACAAGAATATTAGTGAATAAATATTCTTCTACAACATAATTTTTAGCAGCTGCCAAGTATTCCATCTTAGGGATGTACTACCATCATTGAGTGACCTCTTATTGTTGGATAGCTTATTTGTAATTATTTTGTACCAAACTATGCTATGGTGAGCACATTTATACATATATCTTTATGCATTTTTAATTAAGGTCTTAGGATAAATTCCAGTAAGGTGGAGCCAATAAAAGTATGTGTATCTTTTTTCAAAAGTATATATCAGGGATCCCTGGGTGGCGCAGCGGTTTGGCGCCTGCCTTTGGCCCAGGGCGCGATCCTGGAGACCAGGGATCGAATCCCACATCGGGCTCCCGGTGCATGGAGCCTGCTTCTCCCTCTGCCTGTGTCTCTGCCTCTCTCTCTCTCTCTGTGACTATCATAAATAAATAAAAAATTAAAAAAAAAACAAAAAAACAAAAGTATATATCAAAAAAATTGGCCTCCAAAGGGTCTATTTCTTTATCTATCAACAAGTTTGAGCTGATCCCTGTCCCCATGCACAGGCAAATACTAGTTGTTACAACTCCTTTTTTTTTTTTTTTTTTTACTGGCCTAACAAATATAATAATGTCTCATTGTTTCTATTTTGCATTTTTTTCATAACTATTCAATTAACATCTTTTTTTTTGCACTTTTTTTCTATTTTTTGTTACAAATATTTATGGGCCATTTGTACTATTTGTCTTGTGAATTACCTGCTCATATCCTTACCCATCTTTCTATTGGGACATCTGCCCCCTTACTACAGATTAGTAAAAATTCTTTGTGTAGTTAAGAAAATACATTAGCTCTTTGTCAGTCATATATTATACCAAGAATGCAGAGAAATGAATACTTTCATACATTGTTTTGGGGAATATAAATTCATGGGGCCATTTGGAAGAGCAACTTATATATACTTTTCAAGATGTTAAACTTATTCCTACCTAGAGTTTTTATCTCATGAAAACCCAGAAATTTGGAGGAACTAATGTACAAGGATGTACTGTTTATAAAGAAAAAGAATAGAAAAAAAATACCTATCAATAGGAAACTGGTTACATAAATAATGGTATCACCTCAGACATTGGAAAGAAATCACTATGGAAGGAAGTGAGCTGCTGGAATTATTGTTTAGAAGAACAGAAGTTTGTCTATTCTTCCCTATTTATGCAAACATTTAATTTATATCAGAAAGGACTCATGGATATTTATTTACATTTTGAGTTATAACTCAAAGCTGTATTATCTATTTTGTTGCTCAAATTGCGCTAGCTTTGGCCACTGAAAGCTCTTTCAGTTGGCTCCTGTGTTCCTTTGACCTACCCTAGCATTGTTTTAGTTGGCTGGTTGATTGGTTGGTTTGAGCACTTCCTTATTTTCTGGTACCACTACTAGCTCATTAAGATGCTATTACCCCAGTACTAAACCAGCCATTTCTCCAAGGAGCCATGGTCCCTTTTATTACAGTATGGTATTAGAAACCGAGATCTGGGTGCTGAGTGTGCTTATTACTACTGGGCTGCCACTGTTGCTAGGTCGTCTTGGTTGGCAGAGCAAGGTAATACGTGTGTGCATGTGTGTGTGCAGGCACGCACAGGTGTGTATGTATATTAACCCATGTGCATATATGTATCTATAAAATTTGTTTGTAACCACCTGTATCTATATTAAAATAAATATGAATTCATATTGATCTCTTAGCTTTCTACCCTTGCTTGTCTGTAACTTTCCATTCCAACATTGAAAAATATGGGTCTTACATTCCGCCATCCATTTCCTAAATTGTTCAAATTCCAGTATTCATGTATAAGGGCTTCAGAATTGTTAACCAATGCCCTGGGGAAAGAACTATATTAACTAGAGAAGAGAGCTTATACATAGTTCCTTTTGTCTTTTGTCTTACAGGCTCCATTCATTTGCAAAGTTACTTAGGTCAGCACCTTTCCCCTCACCTTCTTCAGTGATGTTATTTCACACATTTATAATATGGTTAGATTTTTTTTGTTATGTTCTGCATTCCACTCTAGGATTCCTTAATTTTCACAATTTTTTATTTTTTATTTTTTTTTATAAATTAATTTTTATTGGTGTTCAATTTACCAACATACAGAATAACACCCAGTGCTCATCCCGTCAAGTGTACCCCTCAGTGCCCGTCACCCATTCACCCCCACCCCCCGCCCTCCTCCCCCTCCACCACCCCTAGCTCATTTCCCAGAGTTAGAAGTCTTTATGTTCTGTCTCCCTTTCTGATATTTCTCACACATTTCTTCTCCCTTCCCTTATATTCCCTTTCGCTATTATTCATATTCCCAAATGAATGAGAACATACACTGTTTGTCCTTCTCCGGTTACTGTGGCCAAGTTCAAAAAGGGTGTTGCCTGAG